GATCATTATTTTTCCAAATTTTGACTATGACATGAGCGACTGTGAATTTTCCTCTTTCAAATTGCACCATATTTTTTTTAATTTCTGATCGAGATTTTTTCCTGAATACAGTCATCATGCCAAGTTGACTTTTGGACAAAATTACTTGAAATAAAAAATAAATACCTACTCAGTTAACATTTAATGACACATCTCGAAATTTTAGGAAAATTTTATTTCTTGTTAGCTGAGCATTTATTTTTTATATATACTAATTTTGTCCGAAAATTTACTCGTCATACCTACATCACATCGCATTGTATTAAGAACAAAAATCTGTAGAAAAAAAATACCTATATGGTGAAGGAATATTCTCAGATAAAATTATGAACATAAAAAAATGGATATACAGGGTGTTTCAAAAAAACCTGACCCCCTTACTAGGGTAGGTAGAACACTGCAAAATAAGTTGGGTTTACTCAAAAAAAAACACTCCGTAACGGCATCCACTATCAAGATACAAGGTGTTGAAAAAATTATTTTTTACACATTTTTCAAGATTATGTCGAAACTATTGGCAACATTGTCATGAAATTCTTTATAGATGTATCTTGGAATCTGACACATCGCATGCATTTGTTTTTATATCTGACACTCATAGAGGGCGCTAGTTACACGGTTCGTACCGAGTAGGTTTGAACATAACTTTTTTGAGGTTAGATTTTTGAATCCAAATTTGATGTGAACTTGAACATCATTCAATTTCACACCAAAAAGGTACTCTTGGTAAAACTCGATACTGTGTTCCGTTCTCGGAATATTTCGATTTGAAAATGACGAAGTGATAACTATTGCTGGTATAAAGCTATGTATTAGAGTGAGTATTATGAAAAATTATCACCTATTTATTGAAAACCGAAAACAATAATACATTTCTGATGCTAAACTTATTGATTTAACAATGAATCACGAGAATAACATCGAAACAGATTTGACTAAGAACATGGATTACACAGTTTTGTTGTATCATAGATCTATGGTTGTATCTTGAGCAGAACGTCTATGCTACATAGGTGAATCTACGTCAAGAGTTGTAAGACATAATTGAACATCACTTAAATGACCTAACAGCTGATCCTCAACTGTTTAGAAGAATAATACATTCTTAAGAAAAGAATATAGAATCGTGTATTCGTCGAAACGTAGGACATTTTGAACACTTACTCAAACTGATTCAATATTTCATGTTTCTAGTCAAATATCTCTTAATTTCCTACTTATGATTCTTTGTTCCATCGATAACTTCAGCACAATGATAATTTTATTGTTTTTGAATCTGAATAAATAGGTAATTGAACTCAATAAAATTAATTTTATACCAGCATCATAACTACTCCATTATTTTCAAATCGAAATATTCCGAAAACGGAACATTGTATCGAGTTTCACCAGGAGTACCTTTTTGGTGTAAAATTGAATGATGTTCAAGTTCATATCATATTCGTATTGAAAAATCTAACCTCAAAAAAGTTATGTTCAAAACTACTCGGTACGAACCGTGTAACTAGCGCCCTCTATGAGAGTCAGATATAAAAACAAATTCATGCGATGTGTCAGATTTCAAGAAACATCCATACCAAATTTCATCACAATGTTGCCAGTAGTTTAGACATAATCATGAAAAATGTGTAAAAAAATCATTTTTTCAACACCTTGTATCATGAAAACGGATGCCGGTACGACATTTTTTCACTGAGCAAACCCAATTTATTTTTCAATGTTCTACCTACCCTAGCAAGGGGGTTAGGTTTTTTTGAAACGCCCTGTATATAAAGAAATACATTGAGAATTCGCATTCTCTATGTGACGAAAATATCAATTCTTTCGGTTTATTCAACAGAAAACAACTACTTTCCTGGCTATATGCCACGACGAACATTGATTATTGAAACACACACATTCTAAATATTCAACAGAAAACAACTAGGTACTTTCCTGGCTATTTACCACGTCGAATATTGAATTATATCTGTTGAACATCCAAAAAGGAGAGCATTAAAAATGAAAATCCTCTGAAATTGAGACGTGTTTCTGACGAATCCGACATAAAAAGCACCTAATAAAAATACACATCCAATCCCGACCACCACGAAACATCACACTGCCAAGACAGATTGTAACATCTTCTAGATCTCACAATTTCAACTTGGCTAAACATTTTTGAAGATATACAGGGTGTTTCAGTTTTTTGTAGCAGGACTTTAACAGCTTGAAGAAGACATTTTTTCAAGATGAAAATCTCATACAAACATATATGCGTGGGAGCTTCGTTTCCGATTTACAGGGTGTCAAAGTTTTCGTTTTTTTTTTCATGTTTCGTTTTTTCTAGTTTTAATTATAATGGTGTACAAAAAATTCAATTCAATTTTGCAACGGAATTTCATTTGGTATGGAAGCTTTCGGTCATTCAATTTTCCAATAAAATGTTTAAGAAATGTCAAATAAGTGTGTTTGAGAAATAACGGTTTTATTACAAGTAATTCATTTTTGGCATTTATCTCGAGATCCATACAGTTTTCGAAAAATTCACATGGGGGCAAAAAGTTTCCAAATTGAAAGGACAATCTGAATCTATGTCCCATTGAAAGCAGAGACGGCACGCAAAAAAGTTCTACAGGGTTAAATTGGGTACGACCCCTGAAAGTCTATCACCCTGTAGGTATTCAGAAATGTTCAATAGTCTCAAATATTGAATTTTCGAAGTGTATTAGGTGTACAAAATTTCAATCAATTATTCCGAAAATTGTAGGAGAAAATTAAAAAAACATAAAAAATAATCTGAAACTTTGACACCCTGTAAATCGGAAACGAAGCTCCCACGCATATATGTTTGTATGAGATTTTCGTCTTGAAAAAATGTCTTCTTCAATCTGTTAAAGTCCTGCCACAAAAAACTGAAACACCCTGTATTATGATTTTTTCATCTTTTGAGGGGTACCCCTTAGACGGCCTGCCAATCAATCATCTCCTCACACATCATTCTAGGGCTCTTTAGTACCGAATCTCAACTTGGCTAAACATTTTTGAAGGTATATTATGATTTTTTCGATATTCTGAGGGGTGATTACTACCCCTAGTAACGCTGGTACTTTATTACGGCTTCACATTTTTGAATGTCGAATCACTTAGGTAGGCTCATGATTTCTGGGTCAGTCTAAATTAGTCTGAATCATCTCTGTATGTCATTTCTCAAGCACAGAAACATGTATTATCCATTAAATATCCTCTTTTTATGATAAAGGCGGATTAAAATATATTTTTTCCAAAATCCGACGCCACTGGTGGTTTGGCTGCTAGGTGAAAACTGGCCGCTAGGAAATGGCTGCTAGATTCACACCGGTCTATTTATACATATACCTGGTGTTTCTCAAGAGTGGCTCACCCCTATAACTCAAGTGTTTGCGCATATAAACAATTGAAATTTGGTGTCTAAGTATAGTACATAAATATACATTTTTTGACGTATTCAATTGTTTTCTGTCACTTCAGGTTTGACTGGAGATGACCCTCACTTCCTTATTTCAAATGGTATATCTTTTACCGGTATATTTCTACTTATTTCAATAGATAATCAATAATCCTGAAATTATTAATTTTCAATTTTCAATTATAAATCTAGTGCCATGAATGAGTTAAAACGGTGAATTTTGGAACAAGTTAACATCAGGGAAAAATAGTTTTGATGAAGTTTTACTTTTCATTTCTTTTACAGGTTCATTCAAAGTTCAAAAATCCGTATTTGTGGTGAAAACTCAATTTTTTTAAATGAAATAGAGGTGGCTCATCTGCCATATCTGATAGGGGCATTATGTTACAAACAATTTGATACTACACAATCGATATTTGACAAACGTTGAATAACATAACTCCTAATGGCACTCTAAATTGGAAAACAATTGAATACGTCAAAACATGCATATTTATTTACTATACTTAGACACCGAATTTCATTTGTTGAATGATGATGATGAGCCACTTTTGAGAAACACCCGGTATATTACTTATGTTGTGGATACGAAATTTGGTGTTTTGGAAGATTTCAATTAAGGTAGGTACTTAACTAAGCAGAAAAAATGCTGACTATCAAAAGGTAGTGTGGCTTCAATGAACTGTGATTATTTTAGAGGGAGAAGGAATAATACATTTATTTCTGTTGCTTTCCAAACATTAAGTTATTGGCCACATGAACGAAACACTACCGAAGTGACAACTGACAAATTTCAGCTAATCAACTGATGCTGATTACTAATGAAACGTGTTAAGAATAACAGCACTGTATTTTTGATTTTATATTATATTATAACGCAGATTTTCAACAGTCAGGGTATATACTGACAGTACTGACCAGTTGACTTCGGACTATAGCCTCAAAGTCATTGTCAATTTTTGATTATCAATTAATTTCAAATTACTTGGAACTTTGCATAGCAACACATTTTTTCTGCCTAGGCAGAGAAAGTACACCTTTTCTGTTAAGTGTCAGAGAACAACCACTTTTTATGCCGCTTGAAATTAATTTTGGATGAGTAATTCGATAATATTCAATAATAAGTCTATTCTGCTTTACAGTCTTCCAATCCCTCATGATATATTGGGTGGTTTATCAAAATATGGAAAATAAATCAGTGAAAATCCAAGAATATATATTTTTTGCAAGAGCTATCGTCTTCGAACAAGTAGTATTATATTTTTTAACGAGCAGACTGAATAAATAAATTCTTGTCCAACATACAGTACCTGTATAATATAATAACTTGTTTCCGACATAAGAAGCACCTAATAAAAATACGAGACGCTTCGAAAAGTCTCCTCTCGAGCGCAAACATTCCTCCATCCATTCCATCCCAAACGCCGAACTCTCCCGCCTCCAATCCCGCAAGATCCCACCGAGAAGACTCCAGAACTAACGGCCCCGCCCCATTGGCTGTTCCAGAGATAGGCCGGAGCGTCGGCAGATTGCCATGGCAACCACAGCCCGGTTCGCGGCCGGGGGCAGCAACAGTCCGCCCATTCCCGCCCCCGCTGACTCGCCACCCGCCCAGCCGCAGCAGACGCAGCTCATCGTGCTGCCCGCCAGTCTGCAGGTAAGACGGTGTCGAGTTCGTCGCTCGATAAACGGGAATTGTTCATTATGGGTCATTGATGAACAAAATATTGTGTTTGTGTGAGACAGAAATCATTCTGGTCGATCGAATGTGAGTTTTGTAGATTAGTAAACGTGTGCAGATGCTGAATGGTAAGACATTTTCTCAGTTTTAGTTTAGAGCATAGATTCACAATCATTCGGACTCCTCGCCAAGCTTCCATCTTATGGCTGGCCTCCCCAGCTATGTTCTCTGCTAGCTAGTTTTCTCTCAAGCAGGTCTCACCATGTAGTGGTCGACGGAGTTTCATCTGACTCTCTTATCATAAATGCTGGTGTTCCGCAAGGATCAATTCTAGCACCAACACTATTCCTACTCCATATCAACGATTTGTTGGAAGCAACTTCATGTCCAGTACACAGCTTCACGGATGATAGTACCCTCCATACCGCCTTCTCTTCCAGGGCTCCAATACCAGCCAGGCAAATCAGAAACGAACGAGGGAGAAATATTGACAACATAAATATGGACTTGGCAACAATTCTTGAATGCGGATCCAATAACTTGGTAGATGTCAATGCAAACAAAACACAAGCATGCATTTTCTCTAGAATAGCCGATCTCACTGTGCCCAACATGAGCTCGTCGGGAGTAACCATACCTTTGAAGATATCTATTTCGATGCTTGGTATTACTATCAGCAATAACCTTCCTTGGGAAAATCACGTAAGATCAATTGCTAAAAGTGCATCCCAAAAACTTGGTTTTCTGTTTCGGGCAAGGAGCTATTTCACTTCCAGTCAGCTGCTTATGTTCTATAAGGCACAGAATCGAACTGTCCTGGAGTACTGTTCTCATATTTGGGGTGCACCACCCAAACATACCCTGAAACTGTTGGATTCTGTCCAAAAAAGGGCAATTCGTCTCGTGGGTGATGCCGCGCTCACAAACTCACTCACTTCTCTGGAACACCGTAGAAAAGTTGGCGATCAGGCTCTATTTTATAGATATTTTCATGGACGATGATCTTCTGACATATCAACAATTGTTCCTCCCTTGGCAGTCCCCCCCTCGAGTTGAGGCTTCGCACCCCTTCGTAGTCACTTTGGAGACCTGCAGAACATCTCTTTCCAAAGACTCGGTCTTATTTATTTTTTATTTATTTGAAAACAGTAGGTTTACTTATTACTTGTTGAAAAATCATTCAAGGGTAGATTTCTTATCGTGCTACCCGTCAGTCTGCAGGTAAGACGGGTATCGGGTTCGTAGCTCGATAAACGGGAATCGTTCATTATGGGTCATTGATGAACAAAATATTATGTTTGTGTGGCACAGGAATCGTTTTGTTCGATCCAGTGTGAGGTTTGTAGATTAGTAATCGTGTGCAGCTGCTGAATGGTAAGACATTATCTCTTAGTAAATATTGCTGGCCCCAAAGCTTTCATAAACTCACTCTAGTACTTTAGAGCATACATTCACAATCATTCTGAAACTTAGGGTGTATATTTCATTCCATTCAAGAAAGTCCGCACTGGTAGATGCACTTTTGTGTCGTGACGTCACCAATTTTCTGATGGCATTTATGATGGAACCGATGCTGCAATGGAATATACAACACATTGATGGAAAAACGGATTTCGTTGTGTGTTAGCCTGTCATGTATCTTCTGAATCAGAAGAGGCTGATACGATTTTATTGATTAACACTAACTCCATCATCTAAAATCTCTCAAGAATCTCAAATATCCTCAATATTTTTCGTTTTTTATGAAATCAAAACAAAGGACAATACTAAAAATGTGTCATTTGTCATGTCAATCTCCTCCAAACCGCAAATTGAAAGTTCATAACAAGAGTTTTATGGTTTCTTCGATGCATGCATATGAGAAAATGTTGGAATGGACAACGCACCCTTACTTATACATAAAACAAAACATAAAAATAACCAAAAACTTATCTCTGACTAAGTGACCAAATTGCATTCGAGTGGTGACATATCTGGTTAAAACAGTAGGGAAACTTACTTTCTCAAATATTATGCAATGGTAGATTTCTTATCGTGCTGCCCGCAAGTCTGCAGGTAAGTTGGTGTCTGATTTCTTTTCTCAATAAGCGGGAATACGTAGTTCAATATGGGTCAGTGATGAAAAAAATATTGTGTTGGTGTAGGACAGAAATCATTCTGGTAGATCGAATGTGAGTTTTGTAGATTAGTAAAAACGTGTGTAGATGCTGAATGGTAAGACATCGATATCGAAGAATTCTTTCAAGATTGATCTGAGGGTTATACACTCATTTCGGAAAATTCACAGGGTTAAGGAGGCACTAATGATATGTATTAATAATGATAATACATGTTTTTGCTAATAATTTTGTACAATCGGTTCTTTACCGATTAGAACTGTGAAAAAAACTCACCCTTCAGAACCTTGTAAACCATTATTCAGAAAATTAAAAATAATAGCTTGCCTTTATATCTTAAACCTAATAATTTTTATAAAAGGTTATGAAAATAAATTTCCAAAAAATGACTAGATATATGGATATGATACAAGGAATAAGGAAAACATTCATATGCCCTTTTCCCGTCTGCTGATTGGACAAAATTCCCCAAAATATGTTGGTGTTAAATGTTTCAATAGGATGAAAAATCTAATAGACATGAGCGGTAGCATGTCAACAATTAGAATTAGGATATCAACAGTGATAAAGCTTTCTATAGTGCTGAAGAGTTTCTGGGCTCCTGAATATATGTTGAAATCTGTTTTATTTCATATTATCAAAAGAGAGGGAAAAAATACATAAACATTCTGGTATTTATTTACTACACTTGGATAATATCGTATTTTTCATGTATATAATTTGAAATTATAGTCATTCATATCTTGAATTGATAGGTTGTCCAAGTGTTATATGTATATACCATTTTAAAAATTGATTTTATTCAGTATGTCGTATCTCTATGTATTACACTTAGTTTTTGTATTATTTCGTTTCCTGACTAGTTCGATAAGTTTATGCATTTTGTAGTCTTCACCACACGATGTGTATTCTTTTGTGATGAATAAATGATTTCTGATACCTTCTGATTTTTCACAATATTCAGAGATAATTTCCTTACTTGACATAATTATTGATATGAAAAAACTAATTATCAGTGTGACATAATCAAATTTGGTGTCCAAATTAAAGTTGTAGCTTACATCTCTGAATTTTGAAGTTCCAGGAACAAACTGACAATTTTACCGAAAATCTTATGAAAAATTAGCTCGAGAATGTCGATCTATCGTTTTTTAGATAAGCGAATAACTCGAAACCGATCGCAGCTTGCTCAAGTTCACCATCAAATTTGCTACAACTTTTCTAATTTAACCGATTCTCAATTTATCATAGTTTGCGAGATATAAAAATATTTTTTTGTTATTTGTATACGTATAGGTAGGTAATCTATAACCTGTAATTAGGCAGTCAATCCTGCTTCAATAAGGTTGATTGTAGATTGTAGATTCACTTTGTTGCTAATTTGACTGAAGATGGCCATTTGAATGGCCGAAACATGTATCAACCTTATTGAAGCAGGATTAACTACCTCCATTGACATTACAATTGTGGAGACGACTTTGAGTTTTCTTTCTTGTTGCTGTAATTAATTAATAGGCCTATTCTTTTCTGCTTGCTGTACCTGCTAAACTTGATTTTTAAATTACTTTTTCTGTTTCCATCATGCCATGAACAAAGACAACTATGGGAAAAAAATCGACTTTAGCAAGTTCAGCAATACAAACGAACAGGCTTCGGATTTTATTTTATATTTCCACAAAATTCTCATACATACGACATGTTTCGCTAACACAGTAGCTTCATCAGGTGATATACTGGTACAGTCGTCTTCAGAGAACATGTCGCACATGGACGGTGTCAGCTCTCTTAATCACCGCTGCAATAAGAGCGCTCATACCGCCCAACCGCGACATGTTCACTGAAGACGAGTGTACAATGAACCAGTATAACACCTGATGAAGCTACTGTGTTAGCGAAGCATGTCGTGTGTATGAGAATTTTGTGAAATTCTTATCGTTTCTGAAGTTTTTACAATAAATTCATATATGAAAGAGAAACCCCTTGTATAATCTCATAAATTATCTCTATCTCATATCAAAACTATTGACATTCAAAATTTTAACAAAAAATCGTCATTATCGCAAAATCACAAATGTCATGTAAATGAAAAAAAAAAACAAATTTTTGTGTAGTTCATTATTCATTCAATTATCATCGGCGAATTTTTATAGGATGATAATTATCGTAATGATTTGACAATGAATTTTTGCCCGATATAATCCAAATTCGGCAATTATTACCAACTTCTTACTCCTAATAAGAAATAATAATTTCAACCTGTATTGTAAATTCATCAAGATAGAGATGGATGCAATGAATGATTTATTTCAATGACATGAATCGCCTCGACTGAGATAGTAGCTTATGGAAACATAAACAAAACATCTGAACTGAAACTTCTTTGAATTTGCTGTCAAATCTTGTTGCTAGTTTTCATCAACTTTTTCGAAAATACCTACGTTTCCAAAGGCTGTTGCATTACCCATCACTAAGCAATATGTTTCTGCAGTCCAGAAACCAGTAGAAACCAATTCTAGTTATAGAAATACAAGAAGAAAATCCAACATGATTGAGTATTTGGTAAGTTCGAAAATTGTTATAACGTTCATTTGAAGGTTCATTTGAATCATTATGATTTAAGTATAATATTATTTTGTGAAATTGTGAGATCGTTTTAACAGTAATGCTTCCAAGTATATGGTAGATACAGGGTGGTATATCTTGTACATAATACTTATTTTTCTGATTCAGTATACAAGGGCAGGTTATTTTATAATATAGTTACTTGAATCAGAAAAATTTTTATATTTTGTTCTGAATATGTTCATTCATTTGAAGTGGAAGTAAAGAACTATGAACTATTTGAATTTTTTTCGGCGTGCTATATTGTTTTGAAGAGTTAATGGAAAATAATGGAAATTGAAACAGATTCATTTTGAATTTGAAAAAAATGTATTCCTGTTTAGTGATGTTTCATCTGTTGGCTACCAGGTATATTTTTACAGACAACTTCATCTGGTGCAACCATAGTGAATGGCGTACCGGTTATTGACGTATCAGCCTTAGAACAAGCAGCAGATTCGAGCAACGAAAGTAGTGCTACAGCAGAACATCAAACTGAAAGTCACGAAACTGACCCCCTTGCTACAACTTCGCCCCACTTCATCACTGTTACAGGTTAGTAATCACTCAATATTGAAATATTAGATACCAGGTGAGATATACCGGGTGTCCTAGAGATTTCAGGCCAGCAGTTATATGGGTTATCTAACATAAAAAAGTGGAGCATATAGGAGCAAAAACGGTAAAACTGCACTTATCATGCGATTGGTTTTTTTTCGCAATTTTTTTTTGTACTTACGTATTTTTTGCTGAAAAACACGAATTTGATAATGAAAATGTACAAACCATTATTTATTGAGATATTTCACTATAAAGTTACAAATTTCACCTTCTTTTCCGCCTGTCTTTTGGATCCCATTTAGAACAATTTGCCTTTCTTTTTTCATTGGACAATAATTTATATATCACAATGTACTTATGATTTTCTTGCGATTTATCCATATTTAGTGAAAAGATGGAAGAATATCATTTGAAATAATGATGTGTGTAATGTCATTCAAAAGCAATCTGTTGACATTTGACATCTCGTATTTGGATTGACTATTGATTAAATGGCCGTCATCGGGTATGATTGTTCACTAAATATGAAAAACTCACCATAAAAATCATATTTCGTGTTGGAATTTCTATATAAACATGCGCCATTGAAGTACATCATGAGTATATAGTGTCCAATGACAAAATAAGAAGAGCAAGTAGATGTCAAACACAGGGGGAAAAGAAGGCGAAATTTCGGACTTTTTTTTGAAATAATACATTTTCATTATCAAATTTGTGTATGATAAATTGATTTTCCTACGACTACTACTGTAAGTGATGGATATTGTACACAAAACAATGGCAGTAAGCTTCTCCTTACACACGTGTGCGTAAAGAGAGCGATCGCACGGTTTTCATAGGTATGTTGATAGATGACTTTGTTTTGTTGCTTAGGCCGCTTAGGCGATGTGTCAATAACAATTAACAATTTATTTAATGTCACTAGCTAGGTGGGTAGGTACGTAGGTACTTATCTTTTTATCAATCAATTCAGCAATCCACCGAAACCGAAAGCATCAGGAGAGTTATATTTTTTGAAAATATGATCATTTTCTATTGAGAATCCACAATTTTAGTTCAAAAAAATGATGTCAAGCGATGACGATGAGCAGATTATTTCTACACCACCAGAAATGTTGGAAAAAGCTAGAATGGTAAAAAATGAGTTGCCACCCGCTAAGTCTCGTAAATGATACGAAATAGCACATAAAAAATTCCTGGACTGAAGAATTAGAAATTATAGCGTGTCATTTTCGTAAAATATCCTTTTAGAATATTTTCAAGAATTACCAAATTTCATGAAATCATCATCATTCTGGTCGATATATTCCATGTTACGATCAACACTAAATATCAATCACAATATTAATATAGCAACATATCCCATTTCCTCAAAAGGGAAGGATGGATTCCGAAGTAAAAAATCAAAAATACTTAATGCTGAACAGATCAATTACTTTCTGCAGAATGCTCCTGTTGAAGGTAATTTTTGAAATAACATACATACTCAACAATGAATTGATGAATTCCTTTTTCTTTAAATAACAGGAATAATTAAGAAAGATCCAACTTTGAAATTATATTTATAAAATATCTTCTAATACGCAGAAATGGTGATAGCTCAGTTGTTAGAAGCGCTGGCTCCGAGCCAAAGGGTCGGTGGTTCAGGGCGCAGCTGGAGAACTTTTTTTTATTTTTTTCAATAACGAATACAGAATCACTCGTGCTGCTGTTACAAATAAATAACCATTATGAATGTTAATTTTATATTTTTATACAATGTGTTTTTGGCTACCTATTAATAAAGCTGTTTAGATATGAAAAACGGTTCCATTTCAGTTCGAATTGAGGAAAATGTCTCGGTATGCAATGTATCAATAAACAAACACAAGGATTGTGATTTGTAACTTTTCATGCAGCTGGCTTAGTGACGGGAGACGTTTTATATTGGTATTCGTTATTTGTGCCTTAATACAATATCTGCACTATCCGGAAGAAAATATAGTGTAGTCGTAGAAAAAGTATAGTACAATTCTCGAGTTGTAAAGCAATTACGCACTTGTGGAGTTACACACTCGCCGCTATGCGGCATCGTGTGTAACTCTCTCCACTTCGTGCGTAATATGCGTTTTACAACTCTTGTTATGTAATATACTATTTCATCATACAGGACGTGAAAAGAAAATCTGAATTGAGAAAACCTAATCACTAATCACCCCTTGAAATTTGGTCACATACTTGAATAACACCCTGTATATATAAAGAAATACATTGAGAATTCACATTCTCTATGTGATGAAAATATCAATTCTTTCTCGGTTTATTCAACAGAAAACAACGACTTTCCTGGCTATATGCCACGACGAACATTGAATTATATCTATTGAACACACACGATAAGAATTTGAGAACAAAATCTTCTGAAGTAGAGAATTTGCATTCTCCTTCATTAAAATATATGTATATGCACATAATATCATTCTGAATATTCAACAGAAAACAACTACTTTCTTGGCTATTTGCCACCTCTAGCATTGAATTAATACGTATATAGTTTGTATTCCACTGTAACCGTGTCTCTACAACTCGCACAAGCTCTTTGAGAGCTCCTGAGAGTAAACTAGGTAACAATTTAACAACAACATTGTTGAGCTAATAGCACATTTCAGAACTTGCTTTATCAAAATGTTCATCAGAATTACAATAATAGTGATTACCAAAAAGGGAACAATGTTCTGAACAATACATTTATGGCATCCTGTTACCAAACAGCCCCACAGCAAAGATCACCGTTCCTAACCAACCCACCTGTTTCCAGAACTCCCGTTCTAATTAGGAGAAAAACTAATTCGATGTGATCAAAATCACCCCGGCGTGCACTCTCCCTTCTCATCGCGTCCACCCCCTGGCTCGACAGATATAAAACTCGAGAAGATACGCAATCACAATGGCGCGATCGGAGATTGAAGGGTAGCACACCTGATTGGACGCGCGACTGACACGTGTCACCTGCGAGTATCAGATTATCGGTGAATCATGTTACTTATTTATTTCTTTGTTTTTTTGTTTTGGAGATCATATATACCAGACCAGACCAGAGGTGGACGGAGACAGGACAAGAACGTTGCATGAAACACATAAAACATGAACTCTTTAAAACCAGAATGATTGATATGAATCACATATACGTATTAATAATCAATACGAATAATCTCTATCTGTTTCCATAGCGAAACATGAAGCCGATTTTTGAAGACAAATGACTATCCATAAGGAAAAGTTTTGAAACGATCAGACACATACTGCTTTGATTGAAAGGCTAGTAAACGTCATTGTCCACCGAAACGCATGTCTTTGATGACTACTATAATAGCGCATGGCGCATGCGTATCATGCCACCAAATCCTTATGGATATTCATTTGTTTCATATTTTTGGCTTCATCCTGGCACCCGTTATGATCCGTATTGTTTTTTAATACGTATATGATGAATCATCTAAATATTCGCGAAAATCACGAACCAATAGATGGCTCTATTAAACATCAAATCAAAGTCAAATTTCCAACTGAGTATGAACAACAAAAACATTGCCGTATGCACTCATTGCAAATTGGTTATTTCCAAATCATTTTGCAAAATAGTAAATAATAAGTTGATTTATTCAAATACGTACAAGGTTTCCAGTATGGAAGAAATTACTTTTTGTGCAGAGAAATTGCCATTTTGATGTGGACAATGGTGGTATTCATCATTGATATCACACTACAATCCCACAGTTTTCAAACATATGGAAGGATCGGAATGGTCCACTCAACACTTGCATGGACTGGAATGGAACCATACAAGCAATCAGATATTACAACAATATGGTATAGGTATGAAGAAATAATTGAATTCATCAAGAAATATCACTGGCTTTTATGAAGGAGATGGAATTCTAGTGAAGGGGTTGGAAAAGAAGATATGGTTGGAGAGGCTGCTCAGTATGAACAATATCATCGATTTACATAAACAATAAGGATCTCCAGCAATTGAGAACTTGAAGTTATTCTCAAGATCGAATCATTGCAACCAACATTTATACAATGATTCTAATTGTGCTTTAGAGAATGTATATTATATTATTATAAGGTAGGTACTGGTTTCTTCATTGTAAACAATAAAAGTTCATGCAATAATTCGAGTTTTTTGATCAGGGAGAAATGAGGTTCTGGAATATGCACTTCAACAAATAAATTATTTTCCAATAAAACACATATTATGAAACAATGGTCGCCATATTTGTTGTTCATACTCGCAAGACTTGTACAGTTAGCTACCAGAGGCCGCACACTTCGTGATTTTCGCGAATACAATGCTCATTCCAAAATTCTGAAAAATATCTGGTTTGAACAAATAACTGACATGACTACTGTCTAGACCGGTATACAGAGTGTTTCAAAGTATATGCGCAGGACTTCAGGATGTGGTAGCTCGTCCAAAAATATGACAAAAGTTTTTATCAACTTGCCCTCTAAAATGCACCATTATAGAAAATCATTAAAAGTACTGTATCGTCTTCCATATGATACACCTACAACTGAACTATATGCCTTAACAAAAACATATTCTTCAGAAGAACTATACAGATTAGAGAAATCTATATAAGATACAAAAATTCAACCAGTTTCACGGTGTACAAATGTTACATGAGTTCAAGTTTTTTGAAACAGTGTCGTTAGGATATTCTGGTTCCATATCATAGTTTAGGTATACCCTATAAGTATGCCAAGGAGGTACCGTTGTATTTTTTTTATCTCTTGGTGTGCACGAAAGGAAATTCCTATGTACCCAGATGATAGTTGTTTGTTATAGCTTGAAATCAAACAGTGTTGAAGTGGTTGAAATCTTCTTATCATATTCCGTTTTGACTTTTTGTCACCATTGCTCGTGATATGGAAAATCTGAGGCTAATTAGTATGAATTTCTAAATTTCTTCAGACATATATTTCCAGATCTCTGTTGGCAACATTCTGAGAGATATTTTAAATCTCCACCACTGTCGTTTTTTGATCCCTCCTAGAACGTAATCTCTTCTTTCATATACAACGCTTTGTGATATTAAGTTGTACCTGCGTTGGTGTATTACAATACTGTTACATCCGATGTGTGTAACAGGTAGGGGGATACAGATATCACATTGTGATCGCATTATGAACATCCCAGTTGTTTCGTATTATTCTTTTTCATTTCAGTTGTGTCCGTTTCCAAGTGTGTGTGTGTGTGTGTACATGTATCTGGACCTGGACAGCATTTGATGTTTGTCGATCCAGACGAGATGTTCTACAATGAGTTTTGGGGTGAACAAAAACGTTTTTCCTCTAAAAGTAAGAGCCTATAGTGTGTTTTCAATAGTTTTTTAATGAATCGTACAAGTCATTTTTTCAGTTGAGTTCTGGTGTGGAGTGAGTGTGTGTGTGCAATTGATATTTCGCACATTTTGTTCATGTGTATTTATACTGGGTGCTACTAAAAAAATCAGTAAAATGAGATAAAAAATATCAACATACACATCGGTCAGGAAATTCTACGAAAAAAAAAAAAATGATTCTCTGAGTGTCAAATCGATTGGAGTAACTATTTGTTGATGAACTGAAGTGAACATCAACCAAGAGATAAAAAAAGTATTAAAGTCAATAGTTATATATTATACAAATGAAAAAAGTAGTAGATTTTAGCTCCCGACGCGTTGCGGAGGGAGACAAAAAACTGTGAGCTAAAATCTAATATTTTTCCCGTGTATAATACACTATTTTTTTCTGTGACAGAAGAAAGGACGAATCAATTTTGAGAATATATTACATTATTTTGAAATCTGAAAATTATCGACGTGAAATTTTAAGTTTTTAACAGTAGGGACACCTGCGTTGTAGGCATCTTTATCATTCTTTTGAAGTTATTTTTGAAGTTATCAAATATCTGATGTCACTTCTGTCAGTCTAATTCTGTGATTTGATTTCAAAAAATTGCTATTTTAGTGGTTGTTTAGTATACGTATCCGCGGAGGATAAAAGGACTTGCAGTTTTTTCTCGGAGACGGTATTATTGACTCATTTTTCGGAACTATAGCACAACAAAAGCCATCAACAGTGTACATATATGTGATATATATCCGGAAAAAAAGTTATTTATGAAAAGTGACATTTTATAACCTGCCAACAGAGATGAAATGGCGAATTTTTTTCCCGTCTCAGATAAAATATAATTGTTTTGGATAAATCATATCAATGAACATTTCATGTCTCATTAAAATCAATAATTTGAAACTGAATAATGATTAGTTATAATTGAAATTCTAATTATTTCAAATTATGGAAAATTACCGAAATGACTCTTGAACAATGGTTTCACAAAAATAGTGCTCATACGTTGAATTTCATGACTTGAAAGATATAATATACTGGAATGATTTTTTTACCTGTTGTCGACATCACTAGGAGATTTTTTCAGTGATTTTTCCATGTAGGGTGACTGGTCTTTAGTGTGGCAGGCGCGTGCCTGAGGGGGGGGTAATGGGGTAATTACCCCCCCCATGACCACGATGATGATGAAAAAATTTGAACATTCCTTATTTTCAAACTTAAAAAATGATGATGATGAAGACACAACGATGGGCTTTCACACCTGTCTTCTAGTCTTCAGGCTTCTAGTCACAACATTAAATTATAAATTTCGCAATCAGGGTGGCGCATTATGGAGTTGAGTGTTGAGTGAACTGGGTTTTTATTTATTGTTCGCCGACACAACGACGGCCGAATTCACGAAGCAGGTGCTTATGTAAATACATTATATACTTGAAATGAAATAGTCGGGAATACGCCGAAATAAGTTCGTCGTTCGTCGTTCATTGTGTTTTGTTGGCTATGCTAGGGTGCATCATTTTTATCTATTCTTATATGGAATAAAATTTATTTATTTTTACACTCTCTCATATTCGAGCTATTGTTTTAAAGAACATTTTGTTAATTTTTTTTAAGAATTAAATATGAATGCCTTAGTGTTACTGAAGTTTAACTTTTTAAAACGTAGGAAATATTGGTCCTGAAATGGGTGATTACCCCCCCCATGAAATTACCCTAGGCACGCGCCTGTAGTGTGGTCTGTGTCCAAATATCATGACGTTATAATATCAGTCACATATCCATTAGCTATTCAATTTGCCATCATTCAAATTGATTTTTTCGGCGTTGAAAATATAGTGGAGAATTCTTTATGATATTCGGTGTATTCATACGAAGTTAGAATGTAATTTCGATGAATTTAAAAATTAGGCGTGTTTCATATTGGTAGTGAACAATCCTATGTTTTACCCACTTCCTATGCCAGAATTGTATTAATTTTATTGTATGTAGTTTCCGTTTCATTTGATGATAATTTCTCTGCTTTCCTTAAATACTTGTATTATTTTCAGTTGCTGAAGGAGATACTGTGGCTTCTCATCAAGGTTACCATATACAGTATGTCGAGCCAGAAATTTATGCTTCACAGACCAATGGTGGGCAAACACAAATGTAAGTTACAAACATAAATTCAGTAGATTGATATAATTTGATTCCAAAATGCCGTTATTTGGCTGCCATTTGAGCCATAATTGATAATTATTGAAAACCTTGTTATGAAAATAGTTTGGTAAGCTTGCCTTATTTCACGGGAAAACACCTTTTTACAAATAAATACAATATTACAGTGGAATCTATTTTCTTTCTTATCTTCATCTTCTTTTTATATTCTCATGTTCTTTCGTCTTTCCTGAGAGAGATCTTCCAGGATGCACATGTATAATGCTTTCCTCAAACAGAAAGTATACGTTATAGACAATTCCTTGATGACGGATCTTTATTTATTGGTTCCGTTCATCAAAGCAATGATGAGTAAAAATCTGATATGTTTCAATATAAAGGTGGAGTGAAGTTATTGTTTCAATTTCGGTAGGCAGACATTTGAAATACCTTTTCCCGGAAAATGTAGGTGATTTTTCGTATAAAGTTGTTCTATGTTTTTTGTTCTAAGTAAGTCACTACTTCTTGTTGGATATCTGTGGCACTGGGAGTTTGATTGTAACTCATTTTAAATTTTTTTATGTATACAACAAAGTGATAGATGTAGATATATGTTATTGTAAGAATTTCGTACTCCTTGAATTTGGGTCTACATTAATCGGTTCGTTTTAAATTGAATATGAGTCGTATAACACGCTTTTGAGGTATGAATACTCTGTCAATGTGGCTGCTACTTCCCCATAGAATTATGTTGTAGGATATAACAGAATTTATCAGTGCATAGTACACGTCAAGAAGGGATTTTTTTGTCAAGTATATTTTTCAATTGAAACATTGCATAGAAGTTTGAGCTCAGTTTTCTACAGACTGAGTTTACATGCGTTTTCCAGCTGATATTGTTATCGACAAATGTTACTAAAAATTTTGCAGGTTCAGAAGAAGTGATACGCGTTTCGTTAACGAAAACTTCAAGTGTTGTCTCTATCTTTCTTCCATAAAACTCAATAAGTACTGTTTTCTGTTTTATCGGCATTAATCATCAGCCTGTTATTATGACACCAAGTGACAAACCTGTTGGAAGTTGAGTTTATTTTATTTTCAAGTTCTACGGTACTGTCTGCTGCCTGCGCGATTGATGTGTCATCGGCAAATAGTACTAAACATCCCGCATCTATGAATTTTGAAATATCAATAATGCATTTACAATGTTCAATACCAAAAATCCATTTCAGGGCGTATCCGGTATATACCGTAGGCGAATCGGCCACTCTCTATCCCATAGCGAACGCCGGTCAAGGTCACGGCCAGTATTACGCCGCCACGAATACTGGCACCACGACAGTCACCGGTACTGTCGGCTACACCACCACCGGCGGACAGTACGTCGTACAACATACGGTAGATGCAGATTCGCTCATACCATCTAACAGGGTGTCACCTCAAACCACTAATGCGGTAACTATTGCATGAAATTACTAATTATACGGACATACAATAGTTGCGTTTTATTTGTTTCTTTCTGGTAACGGTGGTGGGAACAGAATGGCCTATACAAATAAAACGACAAACTTCATTTCCTTGCTAGATGGCTCCGAATAATGTCAAAATCATAATTCCACAGTTAAAAATCAAGAAAAGGAATCAATGCATATTTGGAGCAGTGTTTGCGGTGATTGGAGGAAGTTCTCTGAGATAGAGAGAATTAATTTTATCTGGAAATGAAGATATGGGACCTGTCTTACCCGTCCTACCTAGATGAAGGAATCATAAGCTTTTGACACTTTGATGCTCATTATTTCTAGCATTTTATCGAAATTTCAATTTGTATTCTTCAGATTGTAATCCGAAAGTATAAACTTCACGATAATGATATTTTCTACTTTCAAAAGTTTGGTCTTTCATCAATTTAATTTCATTTTCCTACAACTGTCAACAGACATTCCACGTCATACCTTGTAGTAAGACGGAATGAGAAGTAGCAACTGGAATCGGGAAAGTTACAAATAAAACGACTCATCAAAATGGTCTCGGTGGCGGAATCGGGTAAATAAAACGCAACTAATGACTGGCAGATAGTATGTGGAGTATTGAATAAAGTTTTTCATTATTTGATTGCTCTAAAATGTTTGGCATCCTCAACGGTGTTCCTTCAGAAAAACGAAAACTTGTAAATGGAAGGAAAATCATCCAAGAGAATGGTTTGGAATCAGTTTCATTGTAAAATTTAATTTGAAATATAAAAATCTACATCAGCCAATAAATCTATGAAATAACCTCAATTGATAGATACTTGAAAATGTGACATTACATTTTTGAAAATATGTTCTCTGCTACAGTTTAGGGCTGCTTTCTCGTTATATTGGTATCGAGTTATTGCTCTTTGTGTTTTCTGTAGTTTCTCGTCTTGTAATCAAAACGAGACATTGTGATGACAAATTTTATGTATCAACTTTAAAAGTACAGATATTGTCCATTCTTGACCAGCGGACATTGGTATCAGTGTATTGATTTGAAATTTTATTGAAATTATCCTGATTTACATGCTCACATTGTTCTTCTTCAGAATAATATTTCTATGTGAAAAGTTTAATAATTCTGGAGATAATCACGTATCATGACGAAAATTTTGCTCAGATGATGCCACACAGGTGTTTCCTAAAATATAATATATAATATGAAACCGATGATAAGTATTCTAAATACACTCTTTCGTCAATACCTATTACAAAAAAAACACGGGCCTATATGAACGTCATAAAATCATTCATTTTATTCAAATCTCACTTTCTGACCATCTCGAAGATGCTGCTCGTGTATTCATTCACAATAACATATCCTGATTTGAGTATATTTATTAAACGTTACAGGGCCGGTATGTATAAATAACGGATGTGGTTGAATATTATAACAACCGAATCCGTTATTTACGTATGGGCCGTGTATCGTTCAAGACTTTTCGTAATCCCGTTGAAAGATTACCACCTATTCAACAGAAAAAAAACCCTACATCGGCCGCCGGCCGTTAAACAATCTTAACGGCCAGGGGCTGTCAACATTAACTTTTCAATTGTCATCTGAATACCGTTTAATCAAAATAACAGTATGGGATTACAAAAGAGTATAAGTTTGTGATAGACGAGTAAAAACTAACAGGGCCTAATAAAAATCACATAAAAAGGCAGGTTCTATTCTGGTACAGTTTCAATTTTATACTCATAAAAAATGAACGTCTACTTCGATTAATTACTAGAAACCATGAATTCAAAAATGGAAAACTTTTTCTCATACATTAGTAATATTCTTTCAATCTGAACTAATTGAAATATTTCACTGGAACTGAACTGAGTCGTTCTTTCGAATGACGTTCATTATGTACAATGCATGTCAACTGATTCAGTTGAGTTCAACTGAAATTCAGTTAGTTCAGAATGAAAGAATATCACTAATATAATATGTTGCATTGTATGCTCCTTGGTGACCATTGAACATCGAGTCTGCCGTTTAATAATTTCTGTACATTTACGATATTGATAACCTCCATGACTAACCGATAACCTAGCTTTTTACCCTCTGGCTTATGGATGCTTTTTTCTCTTCGTTTACTAACCTGGTGGTGCAGGACACGAGTTACATTGCCACAGCTACCGTGCATGCGTCTCAGTCTTCGGGACATGTGGTGGCAGGCGATGACGTCGGATCGGCCTTGGGACATGCTACCAGGGTGTCCCCTGCTACAGTAAGTCGTCCTCCTTCCCCGTCATTCGATGTGTGCGAGCTTGTGTTTTTTTTTGGTTGTTTTTTTTTGTTCGTTTTTGTGACTAGGCGGTGCTTTGCTTCTATTTTTCGTTGTTTCCTTATCCTTATTGTGTTTATATTTTGTTTTCTTCTCAGTTGACCATATTTCGAAGCGTGAAGAATCACCACAGAACTATAAAGCAGAGTACAATGGATATTATGTTTTACCAAAGCGGTTATGCAAGGGTAAATTCGAGGGTAGTGAGGCACATGCGCTATAACGTTGTGTTAGGACCGGACTTGAAACATGATATGGGTTATTTGTATGGGATTGTCAGTACAAGTGGTTATTCTATGTGGACCAATTCCATTATCAGAAATAACTATATTTGACTTCAAAAAATAGTTAATTGATTGCTTCAACTAGTAATTTTCACATATTCCCATTTGGAGAGATATAAATTATCATTATATTTGAAATCATTTAAATCAATCGATACTAATCAAGTCCTAGCTGTGTCATGAAACATTTTATTTTATGAAAATTTGAAAGTATAATTATTCAAGTGATTCAACTAAACACATTCTATTTATCCATTGTGAAAAGAAATAATAACACTGACATTGTATGGAAAAACATGAATTCTGATGTCTAATTCTGAAAGCGATCAAACTATAGAACATGAATCATGCGAATTCAGGATCTGTCATATATCTTACTTACTCGTTTCCGAACACCAGATGTCATGAACGACAGATTGGGAGTTGATGCGCATTGATCAGAATCCAAAGGTGTCGAATTTTAAAAAATTAAACATAAGGTTCCTGGAAAATACTTCTCATTCTTGCCACCTCTAGCTCAGATTAATATCATACAAATTTATCGCAACTGGTGAATCAGCTGGTTGGAAAAAAAAATAAATCAACGATTCGGAAGAAAGACAATAAAGGCTAACATTATTTATTGTCCACTAAATCGCGCCACCGAAACGTGAGGTTACTGTTGGTAGAACTGATAAATTTAATATTCTTCTTCTTTTCATGTCATTTGGCCTCTTCCTACGATATCTTCTCCGTCAATGTAAGAATTGGCCGTGTGTTGTATGCCAACACAACATGCCTCACCCCTCCAAATTGAAATATGGTCAATTCAATTTTTTTTAGAAAAGGTTTCTGCGATATTTTCTCCTGCCTTGGAAATTCTGGCACGGTGTGAAATATATTGCTCTTTGATTTGCTGAAGTCAGTTTCTAATAGTTTTTTTTTTTATTTCTGTACCTAAACAACCGACTTTGAGCTACTCGTTCTTCTTTTGAAATTACTTTGAACCACTGAGATATGGATGATTTTCATAATCTAAACATAGGTATTCTAATTAAAAAAGAGAGAATAGAGTAAGCCAAGTGGGGTTTACAAGAGCCTGAATCACTTGGGAGAAATCACAAACGTCATTCTAGACGAAAACGTTTCCAAACGATCGTTGACTTGCTTGGTATAGATTATCGACTCTCATCGTCTTTTCATAAACATGTTTTGATTATCTATCAGAACGCGCTGCTGAGACGTGAGATCAACGTTGGTGTCCTTTTTTATTTCCTTTTACATGATCTTATCTCTGTTGATGTAATAATTGTGGGTGAAGTCCACCGGCCTCGGCTTTCATTTTAGGACTCTTGACTTTGACAGGTCTACGATAATGCTAAAAGAAGTACCTATTGGGCATACTTGGGCATACTTTCATAAGATTATGAAATTGATCATAAACTGGGTGTTAGGTGGACCTAACCTACTTACCTTAATACAACCAAAAATTGTACTTCTTCCGAAAGTCACCTAGTAGAGTAGAATATAGACTATATGACTTTATAACACAAATGAGTAAACGTTTGTGGACATTGGAGACATCTTTGATAAGAATGACACCTGTAGGTATTGTCAATGAATCCAAGCTTTCCTTGTTCATAGAATTTATATGCAATAAAAAACATTCATTGTTGTGTTTAGTTGTCTAATACACCTCAATAAACCCCTGATACTGGAAAGCAATAGCTTTGCTGAAGAAAAAACTTCTTTGTTCCTCATCACTTGATATCTGTTCTTGCTTATCGCACATTTTTGTCCTGCTTCTTTTTTTTTTCAAAACGTTCATGCGAAATAAATCGAATTTCCAGGTACAGTGGTTGCTGGAGAATTATGAAACTGCTGAAGGTGTATCATTACCGCGTTCTACTCTATACTCTCACTACCTCAGACATTGCGCCGATCACAAATTGGAGCCCGTCAATGCTGCCTCCTTTGGAAAACTCATAAGATCGGTTTTCTTGGGATTAAGAACACGCAGGTTGGGAACAAGGTAATTTATACAAAGTTTTCTGATTTCTCTAATGAAATGAATTTCCAATATCGAAAAAATTGAGTAAAATAATAATATAATGATATAATAATAATGTTTATTTTGACAGAATTAGGATACGATGGAAGAAATTATGATATCAAGTTAACATTAGGTAAATGAACATTACAAAACCCACAGAAGCAGCAAATGCTGATTGTACGTGGTGAAAAAGTATAATAAATAAAGATTAATAATTTTGGAATATAAAACTAAGAACCTAGGTAAACAAAATTCAAGAGTGTAGAATATTTATATACAAAATAATCAAAATGGATAGATATAAGAAAAATGGAATGAACTCATAAAAAATGTCGATGGATATACTGGATGTCCCAAAATTGCTGGGACACAGAGCTACCACGTATAATACAGTCGAAAATAAGTTGATTGGGCCACACTTATTCATATAAAAAAATGTACCGTAGACCAGTTCAATGTTTACATTAAAAAACACATTTTTGTTCGCTGTTCAAAAATGAGTGAAACAAATTGGATGAAATTTCACAAAAGTGCATTTTAGAAAATAACCCTTCTTTCACTAATCAAAGAAACTTTGAAGAAATTGTAGGAAGGTTGAAACTACCCTCACCCCCTGAAATTTTCTTCAGAACACTCTTAGGGGTGGTAATAGGGTTCTAAAATGTCTTGAGCGAGATCACACTAATTATCTTTATGTTTTCTTAAATAATGCTAACAGATATTCCTAGTTAATGGTTGTAATACAAAATTAGTGGCAGTGGAAACAAAGGAATTTACATTTGTATTGACGAAGGTCATATTGAACATTCATAAAAAAAAACGTTCTGCCTCGTTTCCACTGCCAAAAAAATTTTTTTTTATAGTGATATGAATTTTTACTAGGAAAACATTTTTTTTTTTTGGAACTATGTGGAATACGAAATTTTCATAGGATTAACAAAATGAAGATAATTGATCAGTCACCTCGCTCAAAAAAATTGAGAACTCAATCTTCACCCCTAAAAAATGTTCTGAAAAAAAATTCAGGGGGTGACGGTGGTTTCAACCCTTCTACAATTTCGTTCGGGATTCTTTGATCATTGAAAGGAGGCGGGTTATCCTCTAAAATGCACTTTTGTCAAATATCATCCAATTCGTTTAACTGATTTTTGAACAGCATACAAATGACGCATTTTGAAATTGAATTGTTAAATTTAAAATTAAAATGACTAATTTGGAATACGATTGATACTTTTTTGAATCAACTTGGCGCTCCTAGAACTGAAATTAGAAAAGGTGTAGTAGTTCATGAAATGACGAAACCTACCTTGGTAGTAAAATTATACTCTATGCCCTGAAAAAGAGTAAATAATGGTAGGTTCTATAACTAGTGGTGGAAAAACGAAATTATCAATATTATATTTTATATCATCGTGCGTTTCCCCTGTAGGGGCAACTCGAAATACCACTACTACGGCATCCGAGTGAAACCCGGCTCGGCGCTGATGAACATCGAGGACCAGAGCAGCCGCGTCGTCCTCAACTCTACGGCCGGCTCTGGCAAGGCGCAGGGCACCGTGCGTCCCTTCAAGCGCAACGCCGACTCGGCCGACGCGGCGCCCAACAACGGCGCCCTGTCGCAGCACGTGGCCTACTTGGGCGACGGCAGCAGCTCCATTCCCGCCTTTCCCGACATCAGGTTCGTGCTCAATCATTCATAAATCATTGAAAGTTGTACGTCAATAATACTAAATCCTAAACACGCATAAATGAATGAAATCGCGGATGGTGGGGATAACTCTGCGACGCGGCGCCCAACAAAGGCGGCCTGTCACAATTAGTCAATTCAAACTGCCGATGGTTCCGATATATATAAAAAATATTAAACTATCGATACTATCTGACTCCGTACCATCTGATAGCAATATATAATACTTGGGACTCAACATCGATACCAATTTGAAATTCACAAGTCACATTAACATCTTGAACAAAAAATTAGCATCAGGATGTTTTGCCCTCAGGTCTACAGCGAATAAATTAGGTTATGTTGCGGCAAAAAATGTTTACTTTGCTCGCATAGAGTCAAACTAAAGGTAGGCAATTCAGTTCTGGGGTTCATATAGTTAATGAACTCTTCGAGAGTGTATTTTTGCTGTAAAAACGGGCGGTGCGGTATTTGTACTAAGTAAATAGGCTGAGTTCCTGCAAATCTCTTTTCCTGAGACACGGGATAATGACACTAACCTCAATCTACGTTTTAGAAGCTACATGTCTCTTTTACAAGAATACATCTTCATATGAAAATAACAATCGCACTGAATAAAGACTCTATTATAATTTAATAGAATATTTTAATGACGAATTGTTGTGATATTGACGGTGCTTATATGTAATGATAATATATAATGTGTATTTTAACGTGGATGTGATTATTTATATGTATAGTTTTGATACAATTCTGTAATTTTATATTTATTTGAATGTAATGTAGGAGGTTCTCATTGAAATAGATAATCTGTTTTTTATTATCAAAACTCACATAATTCATAAACCTACTACTTGACGGTAACCTGACTCTGACCTTATTTTCCCAACCTCTAAAAACTGTTTCCCGGTCTTATTCCCGCTTACCTAGCCTAACCATATCCTCCACTATTCTTCTTCTCTTTCCTCATAGGCCTACAGTAAATCTTTTTATGTCTTTTTTACCAATATTGGTCAATAAGGTTTTGTATCTTAAATAATAAACACATACTGTCTCTCTATCGATAATACTACCTCTAGGTTCGTGGAGCCGCTGCCCGACGATTGCGGCTACGAGGACGTCGACACGCTGAAGTCGATCTACAGGGAACACTTGGAGGCGTTTCTGGACGCCATTTTGAGCTTGGAGTTTGCTACGGTCGAGTCGCTGTGGAGGGAGTTTTGGAGGTTGGTAGATTTAATTGGGTCCGTTTCAAGATTGAGGGTGTTCCAACCACTGACATAACTTCTATCTTAACCGCTGTATGTCGTATCGGAGCAACCTCAAAAATCTATCCGAATTGCTCGACCGAAAACGCTTTTGCTCAATGCGCAGGAACCCCAAAACTGTTGTTTCTGTCAGTGAGGCATGTTTCTTGGTGTTCAGAAAAATGAGTGAGAGTGAGTAAGATATATGACAGGTCTTACAGGCGTATGATTTATGTGCTTCATTTTGATCTCGTGAGTGGCATAACTATTGCAACCCGAGTTATAGTACTTTCGATTCCTTAACCTCCCCACCAAATATGAATATGACAAATTGCCAATTGTTTTGCAATATATCTGTGGATTTATATTCCTAGAAATCAAAATATCTCGAGATATATACAAAAGTCCACTTGTAATTGACTATTACTATACTTTCATTTCTACTACCACTTGTGATTTGTTGGAATATACATCTGAGTCGATCCATCTTGCAGTGGAGTGAAGATAATAGGGCAGGAAGAAAATCTTACAGTCAACTCCACCAAAACTATACTTTATTTAAATTGAAAACAGTTAAAACAGTTAATTGCGGCCCCTGTTTTGCTAAATATTTCAATATTTCAATTTGTAATAATATTTAAACCGTAATTTTTTTGATTCCAACATCTGAATTTTCCCCAGAACAGTACTTCCTGTAACAATTTTGCTGATGATGAAGCTATGAAGCTTCGAAACATGTCCCAAATTATTTGTTACTGTAATTGATATCTGTCATGCAATATAACCTTTTCAGCTCCATCTGCTTTGAGCTTTCCGAATTACTTCCCATTAGCAAAACATTGGTTTGTATTTGTATGATTTTGAACCTTCTTGGTTCACATCATGACAAAAAAGTATTGAACTGAGTCATTCTTCATGTTTTCAATGTCTTCAAAATCGTACGTTCATGTTGTGGTATGCGGAAGTCGAGGCGGAAGTTGCATTTTGATATTCAGTTTAATTTCGCCGTGAATTAAAAACAAATGGTAACGTAAAATTCGGAACAATATTTCAGTAGATTTTACTTTCAACTCATTTTGTCACTGACCCTATTAAAAGAACAGCCTGTTGTGAATTCCAGCATTCTAAATAGTTAAGTTGGATGATTGAGGCACACATAATATTCAAAATATTGGAAGTATGTCAAATATATTTCCTCGAATTATAGGTCGCAGTATAACAACAATAGTGATGAATGCGAGGAGGAAAAGTATCTGTCAAAGTCGAAGCTGTTTTCACTCTGCAGCTTGGAGCCGGTTCAGCAGTTCATGCGACAGATCGATCTCGTCTTCTATCAGAACCTTATTCAAGTTTTGGTGCCTGATGTACTCAAACCCATTCCTGCTACTTTGACACAAAGCATAAGAAATTTCGCAAAAAGTAAGTTTTCCTTGATGAATCAACTTCGATAACGCTATTTGACGACGACGTGGGTCATTTTGACATCGATAAAAAAGGATTCACCTTTGTTATCGCTGATAAACTGCATGCTCCTTTGATCAAGTAGCTATTTGCGCCTGATGTCACTCCAATTTCTGTTTTGTCACGTTTGATTGATGGGTATGGTCAACGCGTAAATGAGCAAGATGAGCCGTTTTAGGAAAATTTCGTCTGAAAAAAACACGAAAATGTGAGAAAATAAATTCTGCAAACTACCAGTTACACGGAATCATCAATAAAGGTAATCATTATGTTGCTAAAAAACACTCGAACTTTTTTTTTATTTGGATAAATTTCCTTACTAACTCAAACATTTTCCATCAGTTATATCTCTCGAAAAACTGACATTAGACAAAATTCCTCGACCTACGTCAGTTTTTCTCGTAAGATTACTGATCGTCAAATGTTTTTTGTTATCAAGAGAAATGTATCCAATGAAAAAGGCTCTTGTATTTTCACTGTTGACAAAAAAATGTTCAACATGTTCTCTAGTAGACCTGATGGGTAAAGTTAGCTAGTCTAATTAATACACTTGGAAATATTGTTATATCCACTCGATTTTGTTTGCCAAAATTGATAGTTTTTTGGTTAATTTCTCGAAAAATATGAAAAATTTCATGGGAATATCTAGAACAGTATTTCAGAAAACGATTATTTTCTCACCCTCACCCTCTAGCTCGAAAATTAAGTGGTTTAGGGCATATGTTCATTTGAACTTTTCTTCTTAAAATGAGCTGAGGAACCATATCCTGAATTTTTAGCCATCAATTAAATTCAGCGGAGTTCATAGCCGTCAGTTCCTTTAAAATTTGCAAAAAAAAAGCTTACCGTGCGATAATACCTAGGTAAGCAATATCGAAAGGTAACGACCATTCCGATTGCGGAAAATTGCAAACTTAGCATCGACTCCGAATATAAATAGTACCCGAGTCGATGAGGCATCATTATTATCAATAAAAGTAATACAAGTCATTAGTAATTATCAATTGAAAATGTTCGCCGTATCCCCAACTTCAATCCTGCTGGTCAACCCAATGCTAGACATTGTAATGTAATTACTGTTTATTAAGTGTTGTTTTGCGTTGTGTTTCATTTGGCAAGGCACTATGTTCTTTTTTCTTTGCTAACCTGCCATGTGGCAAGCATTTATCCACGATTTTTACATTAAATCAATGAATGTCAAATTTTATATGAAAACTGTCTTGACTCTTTATTTGAGGATGAATGTGGTTGGGTGGTGAAATGGTCAAAACATCTTGTCAAAAAGCCAACCTAGTAGCTAAGTTACGACCTATAGGAGGGTCAACATCTGAGTTGTGACAAATCGATCCAATTCTCTAAGAAGTGTTCAACACGGTGGCTAAATTAGTAACATTGTTTTTAACAACCCCAGATTTTCCGCTATTGATATTTAGTATTCTATAAAAACAACATGTATCAATGTGTTTAGTTTTTTACATTTCCACTCAGTGGTATAAAAATAAAGCTGTGAAGTTAGTCATTCATCTACTATTTCATTGATTTCTGCCTTTTTAACGTGAATTTAACCTAAAAATTGAAATACTCTACAAGCACTTGGTTGAAACATTGCTATGTACATTAGAATCAGTCCCCCTGATAGGATGCACGTGCAAGTAAATGTAAGGCAGCAAGTATCTGAAATACTAGGCATTAGTTATATTCTTTAGTTCTATTAATGGTATCAAAACCTTCAAAACCAAAACTTTTGGAATGTGATAAAATATTCGAATTATAAGGATGGACTTGTTGAATCCCTCAAAATTCGATTGCTTGGTGCTATCCTTTTAGTGAAATAGGTATTTTTTTCGTTTTCACAAATAATTAGTTAGATATTGCATACTTCCTTGCCGTAGAATCACCTCTTGTGCAACATCTAGCACTAACAGATGTACAACATTTCCTTGAAATAGTGCCACATTTTTTATTAAAAGCCTTAGCCACTTCAAAAATCACCAGAAAAAGCTGGTGGATATCTGCCACTTTAAAAAGTGGAAAAAACATAACAAGTTGTTAATTCATTATCCATCTAGGCTTTAGAGAATCAGAAATTCTGTGAGTGGTTCAAATAACCCCTAACCTTCATATTAACCACCCGAATGCCAGCTGTTGAAATAACCATGCTCTTAGTGAATCGGACCGAATATGAGATACTTTCTGCTGTCATAGGTGGTCGTAGAAAAATGTTATTACTATTACGTTGTCTTCGCAGACCTGGAGAGCTGGCTGACGACGGCGATGGCCGGCGCTCCCCCGGCCATGCTCCAAATCAAGCTGACGGCCGTCTCGGCGTTCGGATCCAGTCTGCGTCGGTACACGTCGCTGAACCACCTCGCGCAGGCCGCCCGAGCGGTGTTACACAACAGCAACCAAATCGGCCAGATGCTGGCCGATCTCAACCGAGTCGATTTCCACAGGTGAGCCTCAAAATAATCTCGTTTTTTACGGCTATAACACAAGATTGTTCTTGATACTGCTACGCGTCGGGAGACAACACAACCTGGAGCTAAAATCTCCTACTTTTTCCCTTGTATAATGAATAACTATATTTTTTTCAGTTTTTGAAAATAACTCTTTCAGAACGTTTCTAAAGTAAACCAAATTTGCTACAATATGATATAAAAACTGTCTCTGTAGACTCATAAGTTTCCGAGATTGAGTCTTTCAAAGTGTATAATTTTCTTCGAACTTCGCAATTTTTTGCAATCCTGTCATTCTGATTGAATTTTGACCCTGATTATACAATCGAAGCCATGTACTTTCATGATGAGATGATAAGAAAGAAAATGAGGAGTGTGAACGAGGATGTTTAAGCTGAGCTTCGAATAATGAAATAAACAAGATAAGTACAACAAAAGTTAGTGAGTTTATTTGTTTGGAAATAGAGTAATATTAAAGATCAAAAAATTAGATTAATTTAGCCCTCTTGGAAGTTCCCGGTTGAGATTCGTCTGGATCTGGATCGTCATTCTCCATTTCAACATCGGACAGATCGTCGCCTTCTGGGATATCTACTACTACAACATCAGGTACATTGTCACAAAAGACCCCACTGCAGTGCCTGCAGACTGATGAGCATTTAAATCCTGACTTCCTGCAGCTGCCCGCGTTCCCACAACCCTTCGTGCAGCCGCAAGAAATCATCCGCAAGAGGTGTTGTAGGGGTCATCATTTTGGGATTGAGGCCTCGTGGCAGCAGGACAGTCAACAACAATCTAATGACCTGTCAAATCATTTCGAAATGACGTCTGGTAGGCAAACAAACAAGTGATTGGTGGATTTTGGAAACCTTTTAGAGTAATATTTTATTCAGTTTTGGTTAGATTTATTGTGAATAATGAAAACTCAAATGATTTTAAAAGAAAAATGCGGGTAGCGTGTATTGTGATGGATAGTGGAAACCGTGCAGATCGGGAAAATTTGCTTAGTTTTTTCACATTCCTACTGTGATTCTGTGAAAAACTCTGTGCATTATCTACAGATAAAAGATCTTTCAAGAATAAGAAGAGAAATGTGGATAGCAGCCATCAAGAGAAAGGATCTAACAACAGAATCAATCATGAGAAACCAAAGGATGTGTAGCAGGTACCTGAGAGGAAACCAATACCTATTATATGTGATGGCCCTATACAACCAGGCGCCATCTTGCCAGCTAAAAAGTCCCGTGGTTTAGATTCCCTAAAGAGTTTGAAAACGTTCTACAGGTGGATCGCATTCGTGACTTGACACGAACAGTACTAGCACACTCCGTCGGAGGTAATTGAAACTTCATTCCGCTCGGGTATATCCGAGTGACGCCTAAAACATTGCAAAAAATTGCGAAGTTCGAAAAGAATTGTAAACTTTGAAAGGCGCCTAATCTCGAAAACTATTGGGTCTACAGAGACAGTTTTTGTATCATATTGTAGCAAATTTGATCTGCTTTGAAAACGTCCTGACAGATTTTTTTTCAAAAAACTAGTCCTTCAGGGTTATAATCGCCAAAATTTTAAAAAATTTCGATTTTTTCGCGGTTTTTTCGATTTTTGACAAAGTTGCGTTCGATGCTCGGAGCCACAAACTTGGATCATTCATTAGGCCAACATCATGAACAAGTCTGCAAAAAATCCTAACTACCGGATTTGACGCATACTACCCCCATATGTTCAGGCGACTAAGAGAATTTAAAAGGAGTACAGCTTTGCTTGTCGGATTTCATTTGTCACTAAATTGACATTTATAGTTTGCCTCGGTCGGTGGTCATGTGATTTCCTGCCTCACTTGTGGTTTGTTTAACAAGATAGAAGTCATTCATCAGTGTTCCTTCAACTTGCTCATGGAAGTGCCCCAAATGTTAGGAGGCTCTTTAGTTTTTTACTATCCACCATAATGCCCATCTATGGGAATTTTTCATGGTTATCCCCCTAGGAAAACAACAATTAGCCATTTAACTTTTATGTATTTTTGGTTCTCTACGGTTATTAGATGACAAAATTTTCTTTCACCTTCATGTAAGCTATCTATGGATTTGTCTGGTTACTTGATAATTTTTTTTCGTCATTTATCTATTTGTCAATTTAAAGTCATTTGACCTTGAACAGCCACAAAATTTCGCCTGTGACGCTCTTTTGCTTTATGTTACTTCCGCGCATCACGTATCACCCCCCCCCCCCCCACTCTCATAGTACAAAGCTGTACATTGTGTCCCACTTACCATGCTCACCATGGGTATCTTTTTAACGGTGAGAGATACGAGGTCGGTTAAATGACACCAAATGTGGAGTTTTACAAGGCCAACTATAATGTGAAAAAATATTTTGATAAAATCTATTCGTTTTTGTTTTATACGCAAAAAACAGATTTTGATCATTTTCATGTCTCCTCCGTAACTTCTTTATTTATGAAAATATTCAAATAGGAATTTCACATTCGCATGGCAGTTTTTCAGAGTGATTTCGAAAAAAATATGAAATTTATACCAACTCTTCTAGAATTTGAGATATCAGCATCAACTTTAGTTTTTCAAATGTAGGTCATAGCTCACTATGACTTAGTTACAAATAACTTTTTTTTCTCTTACAGATGATGTGTCGCAGTAATAGTTTTGTGTTGATAACAACGGAGTTATCGTCATTTATACAAGCACAAAAAATTATTTGGGAGCCGCCATCTTGAATTTATAAATTTTAACAAGAAAATCATGATTTCCGACCTCAAAAACCCCCACTCACCAATTTTGAATGGAATCGAACCAATCTTGGAGCAGCCATTTTTTTTTTAATTTCAACAAAAATTCCATAATGTATTGTCACCGGATTTACGAATATCTGCCAAATTTCAAGTTGATAGGACGGCCAGAAGTGAGTCAAAATTCACTTGCAACATTTTTTGTTGAAATTAAAAAAAATGGCTGCTCCAAGATGGCGGACAAGATTTGGTCCGATCCCATTCAAAATTGATAAATGGGGGTTTTTGAGGTCGGAGATCATGATTCTTTTGTTGAAATTTATAAATTCAAGATGGCGGCTTCCAAATAATTTTTTGTTTTTGTATAAATGACGATAACTCCGTTGTTATCAACACAAAACTATTACTGCGACACATCATCTGTAGGAGAAAAAAAAGTTATTTGTAAATAAGTCATAGTGAGCTATGACCTACATTTGAAAAACTGAAGTTGTTGCTGATATCTCAAATTCTAGAAGAGTTGGTATAAATTTTATATTTTTTTCGAAATCACTCTGAAAAACTGCCATGAGAATGTGAAATTCCTATTTGAATATTTTCATAAATAAAGAAGTTACGGAGGAGACATGAAAATGATCAAAATCTGTTTTTTGCGTATAAAACAAAAACGAATAGATTTTATCAAAATATTTTTTCACATTATAGTTGGCCTTGACAAACTCCACATTTGGTGTCATTTAACCGACCTCGTATCTCTCACCGTTAAAAAGATACCCATGGTGAGCATGGTAAGTGGGACACACTGTATACGCGCCTGTAATTGGTTGAATAATTGTGTTACAGCGTGCGAGAACAAGCGTCGTGGGTATGTCAGTGCGACAACGAGATAGTCGCCCGGTTCGAGAACGACTTCAAGCTGACGCTGCAGCAGCAGAACTCCTTGGAGCAGTGGGCCTCCTGGCTGAAGAACGTAGTGAAAAGCGCCCTGAAGCCCTACGAGGGCAAGCCGAGTTTTTCCAAGGCCGCCAGGCAGTTCCTGCTCAAGTGGAGTTTCTACAGGTGGGCATTATTCATAGATGTTATTTGAGTTTGATGATTATTCTGGGCTGATCAGATTTAACATTGAATGTTTTGAAGAGATATTTTTTTCATCGTTCTGATGCGAGTGATATGCAACAACATAGTAGAGTTCTTGGTTGTCGACCGGCTTGATCGACTGGTCGTTAGGGTCGCGTGACTAATCTCAATGACAAATACGAATTGATAATATCTCGAAAATAACACATCAACTAGCATCCTAAAAACCAGGAATATCAGGAATCATCTATATGAATCATTGAATTCCTCAAGACAGATTTTGTTGAATGAAATAATAATTTTGTACCGTATCAATCAGAGATAATACACTCAAGTGAATCATCCAGTGATGTAATATGTAATGCTATTTTTGTTGAAATATAAGCAGTTAAAGTCACTCGAATTTGCCCCTTTCCCATTTTTTTGAGTAATTTGATTGGTTTGGAGGTTATACTTTATATCCTTGAACTACATCGACCATCAAAAAGCCTGCGAGAAGTGGTCTTTGACTCTTTGATCGGTTTGCCTTGGGCTTCAATAAGCAACTTTACCATTTGAAGTTTGGCCAATGTGGTCATCACTCAAAAACCATGTGGTCAAAGTGTGGTCCAAGTGGTCGCGACCACCGACTTTTTACTCTATCTAGACTGCAGCAACTCAGAAATGTAGGGTCATTTGCTCGCCTGAAAACGCTTCTGCTCAATACGCAAGGACCCCCATGCTGTCGTTCATGACTTTGACGTGGTATCGAAATCAACCTAGTATCCATTTTGTTCATAGGCAAGGTGGCAAGGTGGATGGCGTCGTCTCAAGTGTTTTATTTATGTCAGTGCTGCAGTATTGGAAGCTATGAGACCTGACTACTGCATATTTCATTCAATGCTCACTACTTTATGTATGGTTCAACAACATTCCATTGTAGATTCCATTCCATTTTTATTTGTTTTTTATAATATTGGCTTATATCTAGAGTTTAGTTTTACATAGTTTTGAAGATAAAATCAGATAGGTGATCTTCCCTTTCCTTCATACACAGGGTAAACCGATTTCTGCCGTTCGTCATGACTTGCCAGAATAGCGTGGTTCAATTTGACAATTTCATCTGGGATGTTGGTCTTTAACTCCTGTAGGGCCCTTGGGCGGTTCACATGAACACGGTATTTAAAAAAAAAATTGAAAAAAATCACAAGGGGTCAATTCGGGAGAGCGGCCACTCCAAATAGCTCCTGATTGAGATGAGGCGCTCTGGGAAGTGTTCCGGTTGGGGTTTACTGAAATTCCGTGTTTATGTGAACAGTCCAAGGACTCTGCAAGATTTGAATTGTTAAACGCAACGCTCAGTGTAAAATGGCCTATTCGCCATAAGAAAATAAAACGTCGCACCACCTGACGGCAACAACTTGAACACTTCTGAGCGGTTTGTTTTGGTGGATGGGACCAATAAGCACAAAAAAAACACCTGCGAACAAATGAAAACAAAATAAACAGTCGGCTATGTTGACTTTCAAAAACTCTGATAGGTGGCGCACGCTTATTTTATTTCGCGAATTAATTATATGAATATGAAGAAGCTACTGTGTTAGTGGAACATGTAGGTATTATTATCAATTTTGTGGAAATCACCTTTTTAGGAGTTTTCCACATTTACTGTAGATTTCCATCACATAACAGGTTGACTGCCGACCATAATTTTTGACATTCTCAGATGCCGTTACTCACTATCTTGGTGTGTATCATAGATAAACTATGGTTTGTATTATCTTGTTTGGTTTTCTTATGAAAAACAAAAAAAAAGTGAAACCAACTTCGACACAGTTTGAAGACAAGTTTAACGAATTACGCCGCTCGGGATACAATCTTCTTCCTGTAACGCTGGCTAAATAATGGTGTATGAATGTGAAACAAAACTAAAACTCCGATCGGAGTGTTGAGCGTCGCTGATTGATTCCGCAACCCTCCGATCGGAGTAGTCGGCAGTCAACCTGATAACGGCCAAGTCAATGCAATAAACAAAAATCATTGTTACAGTTCAATGGTGATTAGAGATTTGACGCTGAGATCTGCTGCCAGTTTTGGGTCGTTTCATCTGATCCGGCTGCTCTATGACGAGTACATGTTTTATCTGATCGAGCATCAGGTGGCCGAAGCAACTGGAGTCGTACCAATCGCCGTCATCTTGGAAGGAATTGTGAGTTGAATTATCTTTATTCGAGAATATATTTACAAATTTTCATGATTGATACTTGTAAGTGCGGGAGACTGCTGTTCAGACTGGAGACAGGAAATGTTTTTCTGGTACCCACTAAACATGATACAAAGTTTTGTGATATTGTTGAAATGACATTGCGATAATGTCCTTCTGAAGTATCCAACATAATATTATGGAGTAAAACGTTTATGAGACGTTGCATCAATATTGAAATCGAACCTTGTCAACTGTCAAGAGTCAATTCAATTCCATTCCAGTCATTTTGTTTGTTGTCTATTATGGTGAACAGCTCAAACAAGTGCGATCAGTGAAAATATTGATGTTCAGATATTATTCATAGTTATCAAAGTAAATTGAGAACTAAGCAAGTCTTGGACTCAAATAAATTCGAAAGAAAATATGAATGGCTCATTATACATACTTAGATTCCAGGTTTGCTCTTTCTGGAATATAGAAATGCAACCAATCTGTATCTGCATTTCATAATATGTAAAAAGTAGGAGGGATTCGTGAATACGGATTGTGTTCATATTTCACGAATTACAAAAATAATGGGTAAGTTATATATCATAGCGCTAGAAGAAGAACATAGAATAGAATTTCAAAATAAGCCAGGAAACTTCCAAAAACTCGTATATATTTACCTATTACTTTTCAGAATTTCAGTAAGAGATCACTGGATTATGCAGAAATCATATAGCTAAGCTATAGGTATGACTGGATTTATGAAGCAGAATAACTAAAATGATACACAGAAGGATAGTAGTTAATCTGTCTCAAAATATCACTGTGTAACTGGATCATATGTATAGTCTTTCAGGAGTACGGTAATATCAATTCATATTCAGGTATAGATCATCTTCTCTGTCTTTTGTGAAGATCATTAAGATGATTGTCTTGATGATTCCAGACAAAATAGACATAACCTAAAAACTCATAGAAAATAATTAGAATGTTAATATACAATATTATTTAGATGTATTGAGTAACATTAAATAATATACGTTATGAAGTAACATTGATTTATGTGATTCGCATAGGCACAAAGGCCTATTCCCGCAACGTATCGGTGACATTAAGCATCTCTCTGAATAACATCACAAAGTAACAATGTAAGGCGGCTCGGTGGTCGAGAGCGTGAAGGCGCTGAGTTCGTATGGGGACTCCCACCGAGACATAGGTTCGAATCCTAGTTAGGCCATGGATGTTTGTGTTTGTATGTATACCTTACCCCGCACAAGTTTCGACTTATGGGGCGTTTGGTCCCAGTGCTGGGACCAACGAGGTAGGTATGCAATTGCAAAAAAAAAATATATAACATTTATGTTTAAGTTATGTTTTCATGTTTAGTGGGTATGAACCGAAAAACACAATTGACACAGGTTTGTTTCTGGAAATCTTAAAAGGATACATAATTATTATTCGGGAACAAGTCAAGCTGATTGATAAAAAATTCAATGACTACGTTTCCGATCGCTCTTCGGATATACTGATTTAGCCTAGGAAAAACTAGTTTATCCTAAAATCGGGTTTGTCTGGTAACATATATGTATGCATGTCTATGAGAAATTGTCATATCAACGACGAATAATATCTGCCGGAATTTTTTTCGAGAATCAACATGCCCTATTGCATTTGTCATCAATAAACAAAACTAAGTCATTTGTTTTTTATAGAAGCAGGACATTATGGAGAACAGCTTGAGCGTTTATGGAAATAATGACTTCACATCATCCAAACTGACATGTGTCAGTCCACCAGAGCCCATATCGAAACGTCCTAAAATTAGCTAGCTCAAAAGCAAAACCAAAATCCTTTCTTCTCTTCACTGATACACAATGTTGAGTTCGAATTTGTTCTTAGTTAGGTTTTTTGTTGGTTATTGGAATAACAGTTTTTCCATAGTTCAGGATATCGGGACCACATTTTCGGTTATTTGGAGTGAAGAGAAAGCTTTGTGTTGTTCATCCTTTCGGTAGAAAAAAAACGACGGGAGTGTGAAACGTTTTTAAGTGTTCTCTTTGTGCAATTGGTTAATGAATTTGCATATGTAAGTGCCGTCAAATTTGTGTGACAAATAATAGATGTATATATATCCGTATATATATTTTTGGCACTAGGTGAATTGTATGACTTGTGAATGTTAATTTATTTATTCTTATTTATTTGCAGTAAAATAAATCGACTGAATTTTGTTGATTCTCAATATTTATTGTTTGTTGTTTCTGTGCTACAAATTCTTGTAATTTATTTTCGTGATCATAATATCATTTAATGATTTGTTGAATATTTTTCTAATTAATATTTATATAGATATATGGAAATTTTAATGTGGGCGTAACATTCTTTGTGTGAAAATCTTTTGATAACCGTGTTAAACTTTTTGAGATTAAAATTCTGTTCAATTGAACAGCTTCAACATAAAATTTTGAGTGGAACTTTTCCACTTACCATTTTAGGTGAAAATTCAGTTCAGTTCACAATAATATACACGGTTACATTCGTGTTTTCTCACAAATTGTAGATAAGTTAATTGCTCAAAAGTGTAATCCATCCATTATATAAATATACTAACTTGAAAAATAGTTGAAACGTAAAACGCAGGGTACATAAAAATATTCCTCTAACTAGTACAAGTGGATTTGAGCATGTAAACTGCTTGTATTTGATACATATTTAAAGAAGTACTATTCACATAGACAAATTCAATCTATGACATTGCAACTATCTCTAAGTAGTCTTGGTCTATTTGTACCAACAATATAGGCATGGAATAATTGAGACCTCATTTTTTGTTGAGGTCTGTTAATAGTCAATTCTGATTGAATAATTACCCGGCTTTATTGCATGCAATTCCTGGTCTGTCGGGAATAAAAAGTCACTGTTGTGATCTGCTGGATCATTTTGTGAATTATGAATATTTTATTCTGTGACAGCTCTTGAACATTATTACATACACATACAGTGAGTCCACCTCGAGAACTTCAACTTTCAAGATCGATTATAAAAAAGGTTTTACAGGGATGGTGAGTTTTCAAGATGGCCACACTGGATATTGTATATGGAATATTAGATGAATATGTGATAATTATGTTATAGTTCCAAAATCAACAGTGGCTTTCTTCTCAAAAGTCAGGGTTTGGCCTCTGTTTTCATTTGCCTTTTAGTTATTCACTATATAGTTCTAGTGTTGAATGTGTACCTTAAAAACTTGATTGATTACCAGATTTGAGAGAAAATGAGTAAACAAAACTCCGTTTACATTTTGGTATATCTAATAATTTGAATTTGTTTAGCATCACAAGAATTAATTATTTCACTAGCACCAGACAATAATACAAAGCGTTTTAGCACTCTACAACCACCTACCAAAAACTATCTGAATAATCCTATAATACAGGGTGTTTCAAAAAAACCTAACCCCCTTGCTAGGGTAGGTAGAACATTGTAAAATAAGTTGGGTTTGCTGAGTAAAAATATGTCGTAACGCCATCCGTTTTCAAGATACAAGGTGTTGAAACAATATTTCTTTTACACATTTTTCACGATTATGTTGAAACTACTGGCAACATTGTGATGAAATTTTGTATGGATGTTTCTTGGAATCTGACACATCGCATGTAGATATTTGTTTGTATATCTGACTCTCATAGAGGGCGCTAGTTCGTACCGAGTAGTTTTGAACATAACTTTTTTGAGGTTGGATTTTTCAATCCAAATTTGATGTGAACTTGAACATCATTCAATTTTCCACCAAAAAGGTACTCCTGGTAAAACTCGATACTGTGTTCCGTTTTCGGAATATTTTGATTTGAAAATGATGAAGTGGTAACTGTTTGCTGGTATAAAGCTATGTATTAGAGTGAGTATTATGAAAAATTATCACCTATTTATTGGAAACCGAAAAGAACAATTCATTTCTGATGCAAAACTCATTGATTTAACAATGAATCACAAGAATAACATCGATACAGATTTGACTAAGAACATGGATTACACAGTTTTGTTGTATCTTGAGCAGAAAGTCTATGCTACATAGGTGAATTCACGTCAAGAGTTGTGAGACATAATTGAACATCTTTTAAATGACGCTAACAGCTGATCCTCAACTGTTCAGAAGAATAATTCAATCTTAAAAAAGAATATAGAATCGTGTATTCCTCGAAACGTAGGACATTTTGAACACTTACTCTAACTGATTCAATATTTTATGTTTCTAGTCAAATATCTCTTAATTTTCTACTTATGATTTTTCGTTCCATCAATAACTTCAGCACAAGAATAATTTTATTGTTTTTGAACCAGAATAAACAGGTAAATGAACTCAATAAAATTCATTTTATACCAGCATCATTACTACTCCATTATTTTCAAATCGAAATATTACAAAAACGGAACATTATCGAGTTTCACCAGGAGTACCTTTTTGGTGTAAAATTGAATGATGTTCAAGTTTATATCATATTTGGATTGAAAAATCTAACCTCAAAAAAGTTATGTTCAAAACTACTCGGTACGAACCGTGTAACTAGCGCCTTCTATGAGAGTCAGATATAAAAACAAATTCATGCGATGTGTCAGATTTCAAGGAACATACATACATGATTTCATTACAATTTTGTCAGTAGTTTCGGAATAATCGTGAAAAATGTGTAAAAAAAATAATTTTTTCAACACCTTGTATCATGAAAACGGATGCCGTTACGACATATTTTCACTGAGCAAACCCAACTTATTTTGCAATGTTCTACCTACCCTAGCAAGGGGGTTAGGTTTTTTTGAAACACCCTGTATAGTCTACTGAAATTATAACAAATATGAAAAGGTACCTATTTGTTAATTGAATTACTGTTTGTGTTACTAATTGTTCAGAATGTGATATTAACATTATGAAAGAATACGAATATGATGCAATCATTAGACCAGGGTAAATGAGTTTAATATGTGATTGTGATTCTAATCAAATTCAGGTTTGTTTAACAGTCTTTGCTTCATATGTGAATAGTATTTTTGAAACTCAAGTTGCCTCATATGAAATACGATTGATTGATTTTGTGAATACCAAAAGATATAAATTTTGTATTTACTAATAAGTGTGCTGTTGAGAATTTTTGTATGATAGTTGCCATGCTACACAAATTATTTATAATATATTGATTCATGTGCTTGATAAAATGCATGCTTATTACTGAAGGAGTGCAATAACAATTTTGACTGGTGAACTTGCTAGGAATTGCAAAATATGAATACAGGGTATGTATTATTCCAATTTTTGAGTAAAAACTACCAAATGATTCAGTAGGGTTGATTTTATTATTTTAGTCATTGATAAAATCCTCACACATTCCAGAGTCGTGTCAGGGGATTTTCGTTATCGATTTTCCACAAAAATTGTGATGAGACAATGCTCTAAACATCTAGCTAAGAAATATCTGTCAGTAGCATATGCCTTCAGTAATTCTGCAACTTAAATTAAGGAGACGAAATCTATGTACTTTTGTAGATGTTTAGATAAAAACAAGAGCAGCTTGTATTTGTTATTTTTTATACAGTACACAATGTTTTTTTACGTTTTTCGCACCTTATGGACTGTGTTAGATCTCAGAATGAAATATTTTTTTGTAATAATTATGATTACAATAAAACTAGTCTTGTGTTGTTAGAGTTTGTTATCATTTTTGATGGGCGATTGGATTCAAGTTTATCTTGAAAAAAAAATAGATATCAATTATAAAATTGAAGATCAAAAGCGTTGGATATCTATCATTCATTCAAAGAAATTCATACAGGTCAACATCAATCGACAAAGAAAAAGATATACAGGGTATTCCGAGGGTCGAGGCAGTCTTACACCTTGGTTAATTATTTTTTGTAATATTTTTGTGTCTGGTCAGAAAACTAAGACAAAGAACAGTGGGAGCAACATTAACAATTAATTAACCACATTTATGTTGAAAAATATATCCTATTATTATCGGATATCATTGATCAAATGGATTTATGCTGTATCACAATAGTTAGGTACTGCAGCTGTTACTAACCAATCCTAAAAAATACCTATAAAAATGCAGATGTGCCTATTTTTTTATTAGACAAGTCATAACTTCTAGACCATTAGGTGTATCAAAATGAGATTTGGTATAGGTAAATGGTATGTGAAGAGGAGAGATTTCACAGATTTTCCACTTTCCGGTCACTTCTGGTTTCACCGGAAATGGCTCCGGCTCTAAATTTTTACATGGAACACCCTGTACATTGTAACATTTGCGGATTTCTGAGACAATTCTAGATCAGAATGTGACAGACACGAAAATGTAATTTTGCCCACTTGTCTTATTCATATCTATCATACTTGTCACTGAAACTTCACGATTGTAATTTTCTGATATCACCTGAGGTCCTTAGATTAGTTTACTTCCGATCATGGCCACCTAGATGTAATTTCAAAAGTGACTCCAAAAAAATTAGGTAGGCATAAAAACTTTCGAAAATGTCACATTCTGATCTAGAATTGTCTCAGAAATCTGAAAATGTTACAATATACAGCAGGGTGTTCCATTTAAAAATTTAGAGCCGGAGCCATTTCCGGTGAAACCGGAAAGTGAAAAATATGTGAAAACTCTCCTCTTCACATACCATTTACCTATACATAATCTCATTTTGATACACCTAATGGTCTAGAAGTAATGAGTTGTCTAATAGATTCGTTGACACCCGGTATATGTATCGAAGACTGGAACCTTTGGCACGATAATACACTACACTGTTTTACCACTAACCAAACCGATTTTTT